ATAAAGGACAACCTAGATTGGACACTGACAGCGTGGGATTATGTAACGATCAGATTGGATACTGGAGAGTGAAAGGTTTGAGATACGTAGGGATCTGGTTAGATTATAGAGTGACAGTTTGGGATATGTAGGGATCTGGTTAGATTATAGAGTGACGGTTTGGGATATGTAGTGGTCCGGTTAGATTAGAGAGTGACGGTTTGGGATACGTTGGGGTCTGGTTAGATTAGAGAGTGACGGTTTGGGATATGTAGGGGTCTGGTTAGATTAGAGAGTGACAGTTTGGGATATGTAGGCGTCTGGTTAGATTGGAGAGTGACGGTTTGGGATATGTAGGGGTCTGGTTAGATTATAGAGTGACGGTTTGGGATATGTAGGGGTCTGGTTAGATTAGAGAGTGACGGTTTGGGATAAGTAGGGGTCTGGTTAGATTAGAGAGTGACGGTTTGGGATACGTTGGGGTCTGGTTAGATTAGAGAGTGACGGTTTGGGATATGTAGGGGTCTGGTTAGATTAGAGAGTGACGGTTTGGGATACGTTGGGGTCTGGTTAGATTAGAGAGTGACGGTTTGGGATATGTAGGGGTCTGGTTAGATTAGAGAGTGACGGTTTGGGATATGTAGGGGTCTGGTTAGATTAGAGAGTGACGGTTTGGGATATGTAGGGGTCTGGTTAGATTAGAGAGTGACAGTTTGGGATATGTAGGCGTCTGGTTAGATTGGAGAGTGACGGTTTGGGATATGTAGGGGTCTGGTTAGATTATAGAGTGACGGTTTGGGATATGTAGGGGTCTGGTTAGATTGGAGTGACGGTTTGGGATATGTAGGGGTCTGGTTAGATTATAGAGTGACGGTTTGGGATAAGTAGGGGTCTGGTTAGATTGGAGTGACGGTTTGGGATATGTAGGGGTCTGGTTAGATTATAGAGTGACAGTTTGGGATATGTAGGGGTCTGGTTAGATTGGAGTGTGACGGTTTGGGATATGTAGGGGTCTGGTTAGATTAGAGAGTGATGGTTTGGGATACGTAGGGGTCTGGTTAGATTAGAGAGTTATGGTTTGGGATACGTAGGGGTCTGGTTAGATTATAGAGTGACGGTTTGGGATATGTAGGGGTCTGGTTAGATTGGAGTGACGGTTTGGGATATGTAGGGGTCTGGTTAGATTATAGAGTGACGGTTTGGGATATGTAGGGGTCTGGTTAGATTGGAGAGTGACGGTTTGGGATATGTAAGGGTCTGGTTAGATTGGAGTGACATTTTGGGATATGTAGGGGTCTGGTTAGATTATAGAGTGACGGTTTGGGATATGTAGGGGTCTAGTTAGATTAGAGAGTGACGGTTTGGGATACGTAGGGGTCTAGTTAGATTAGAGAGTGAAAGGTTTGGGAAATGTAGGGGTCTGGTTAGATTAGAGAGTGAAAGGTTTGGGATATGTAGGGGTCTGGTTAGATTGGAGAGTGACGGTTTGGGATATGTAAGGGTCTGGTTAGATTGGAGTGACATTTTGGGATATGTAGGGGTCTGGTTAGATTATAGAGTGACGGTTTGGGATATGTAGGGTCTGGATTTAGATTATAGAGTGTGGTTTACTTGGGATATGCTTGGGGGTCTAGTTGGATTATAGAGTGGCAGTTTGGGATATGTAGAGTCTGGTTTAGATTTATAGGTGGCCGGTTTGGGATATGTAGGGGGTCACCAGTTGGGTGGAGTGACGGTTTTACAGGATATGCTTAGGGGTCTGGTTGGGTACTTGGTGGCGGTTTGGGATAGGTAGGGTCTGGTTGGGTGGAGTGGCCGGTTTAGGATATGTAGAGGTCTGGTTGGAGATTGTAGGTGGCCCGGTTTTGGGATATGCCCAGGGGTCTGGTTGGGTGCCAGAGTGACGGTTTGGGATATGCTTGGGGGTCTGAAGTTGGAATTATAGGTAGCCAGTTTTAGGATATGTAGGAGTCTGGTTAGATTATAGGTGACGGTTTGGGATATGTAGGGGTCTGGTGAGATTATAGAGTGACGGTTTGGGATATGTAGGGGTCTGGTTAGATTATAGAGTGACGGTTTGGGATATGTAGGGGTCTGGTTAGATTGGAGTGACGGTTTGGGATATGTAGGGGTCTGGTTAGATTATAGAGTGACGGTTTGGGATAAGTAGGGGTCTGGTTAGATTGGAGTGACGGTTTGGGATATGTAGGGGTCTGGATAGATTATAGAGTGACGGTTTGGGATATGTAGGGGTCTGGTTAGATTATAGAGTGACGGTTTGGGATATGTAGGGGTCTGGTTAGATTATAGAGTGACGGTTTGGGATATGTAGGGGTCCGGTTAGATTAGAGAGTGACGGTTTGGGATACGTTGGGGTCTGGTTAGATTAGAGAGTGACGGTTTGGGATATGTAGGGGTCTGGTTAGATTAGAGAGTGAAAGGTTTGGGATATGTAGGGGTCCGGTTAGATTAGAGAGTGACGGTTTGGGATATGTTGGGGTCTGGTTAGATTAGAGAGTGACGGTTTGGGATATGTAGGGGTCTGGTTAGATTATAGAGTGACGGTTTGGGATATGTAGGGGTCTGGTTAGATTGGAGAGTGACGGTTTGGGATATGTAAGGGTCTGGTTAGATTGGAGTGACATTTTGGGATATGTAGGGGTCTGGTTAGATTATAGAGTGACGGTTTGGGATATGTAGGAGTCTAGTTGAATTGGGTGGCGGTTTGATATGTAGGGGTCATAGTTAGATTATAGGTGGTTTGGGATAAATTAGGGTCTGGTTAGATTGGTGTGGTTTACAGGATATGTAGGGATACTAGTTAGATTATGAGTAATGGTTTGGGATATGCTAGAGGTCTAGTTAGATTATAGAGTAGCTGGTTTGGGATATATAGGGGTCTAGTTAGATTATAGAGTGTGAGTTTAGGATACTATGTAGAGTCTGGTTAGATTATACAGAGTAGCCGGTTTTAGGATATGTAGGGGGTCTGGTTAAGATTGTGGTTTAGGATATATGGGGGTCTGGTTAGATTATAAATTGTAGTTTGGAGGGATAAAATTAGAGGGGTCTGGTTAGATTGGGTGGTTTAAGGATATGCCAAGGGGTCTGGTTAGATTATAGAGTGTGGTTTTGGGATAAGTAGGGTCTGGTTAGATTGGGTGTGGTTTGGGATATGTAGGGGTCTGGATGAATTATAGGTATTACTGGTTTGGGATATCTTAGGGTCTGGTTAGATTAGAGAGTGACGGTTTGGGATACGTTGGGGTCTGGTTAGATTAGAGAGTGACGGTTTGGGATATGTAGGGGTCTGGTTAGATTAGAGAGTGACAGTTTGGGATATGTAGGCGTCTGGTTAGATTGGAGAGTGACGGTTTGGGATATGTAGGGGTCTGGTTAGATTATAGAGTGACGGTTTGGGATATGTAGGGGTCTGGTTAGATTGGAGTGACGGTTTGGGATATGTAGGGGTCTGGTTAGATTATAGAGTGACGGTTTGGGATAAGTAGGGGTCTGGTTAGATTGGAGTGACGGTTTGGGATATGTAGGGGTCTGGTTAGATTATAGAGTGACAGTTTGGGATATGTAGGGGTCTGGTTAGATTGGAGTGTGACGGTTTGGGATATGTAGGGGTCTGGTTAGATTAGAGAGTGATGGTTTGGGATACGTAGGGGTCTGGTTAGATTAGAGAGTTATGGTTTGGGATACGTAGGGGTCTGGTTAGATTATAGAGTGACGGTTTGGGATATGTAGGGGTCTGGTTAGATTGGAGTGACGGTTTGGGATATGTAGGGGTCTGGTTAGATTATAGAGTGACGGTTTGGGATATGTAGGGGTCTGGTTAGATTGGAGAGTGACGGTTTGGGATATGTAAGGGTCTGGTTAGATTGGAGTGACATTTTGGGATATGTAGGGGTCTGGTTAGATTATAGAGTGACGGTTTGGGATATGTAGGGGTCTAGTTAGATTAGAGAGTGACGGTTTGGGATACGTAGGGGTCTAGTTAGATTAGAGAGTGAAAGGTTTGGGAAATGTAGGGGTCTGGTTAGATTAGAGAGTGAAAGGTTTGGGATATGTAGGGGTCTGGTTAGATTGGAGAGTGACGGTTTGGGATATGTAAGGGTCTGGTTAGATTGGAGTGACATTTTGGGATATGTAGGGGTCTGGTTAGATTATAGAGTGACGGTTTGGGATATGTAGGGGTCTAGTTAGATTAGAGAGTGACGGTTTGGGATACGTAGGGGTCTAGTTAGATTAGAGAGTGAAAGGTTTGGGAAATGTAGGGGTCTGGTTAGATTAGAGAGTGAAAGGTTTGGGATATGTAGGGGTCTGGTTAGATTGGAGTGACAGTTTTGGATATGTAGGGGTCTGGTTAGATTATAGAGTGACGGTTTGGGATATGTAGGGGTCTGGTTAGATTATAGAGTGACGGTTTGGGATATGTAGGGGTCTGGTTAGATTGGAGAGTGACGATTTGGGACAATTTGGTTAGATAGGACTTGGATTATTTTATTATTATATTGTTGATCTAAATAAAGTTATATTGGCTATTCCACTATATTCTAGTGTGCCATATACCTTTTTATTAAAATTTTTTATATATTCCTGTATACCAGCAATCATCTTATCACTAGTGATGTCCCGAACGGTTCGCCGCGGACGGCGAACATATGACCCTGTACCTCACAGTCAGCAGACACATTCCAGCCAATCAGCAGCAGACCCTCCCTCCCAGACCCTCCCACCTCCTGGACAGCTCACTAAGAATACAGCTTCAAAATGGATGCTGTCCAGGAGGTGGGAGGGTCTGGGAGGGAGGGTCTGCTGCTGATTGGCTGGAATGTGTCTGCTGACTGTGAGGTACAGGGTCATATGTACGCCGTCCGCGGCGAACCGTTCAGCGAACCGTTTGGGACATCACTACTTATCACCCAAACAAGACCAGATTAAAAAATCTTTGGTGGGGATTGTAGCACCTATGCCTGATTCATAGAGCGGTTTGTTTGCTCAGCAAAGTGTGAGTAATATCCATTTCTTTATTAATTTATGTAACCCATATTATACAGAGAGCACTATTGTTCTAATTTTTATTTTTGGGGGGTGTTTCTGGGTCCTCACCTTGCTACATATTCCGTTCTGTGTTACCATCATATATCCCTTGCATAACTGCTTATTTTGGATACTGCTGTTGTGTGCCGATACTCCGCTGTGGACCATATTAAAGAATCCCTGGTTGGGATCATAGAACCTACGTCTGACTCATAGAGCGATGTGTCTGCTCATAAAAGTGTGAGTAATATTCTTGTCATTATTTTTTCTGGCCCAGAGCATACAGAGAGCATTATTGTCTTTCTTTCTCTGTCTTGCCGAGTTTCTGTGTGACAAATTTACAAACACCTCAATCTAAAGAATCTCTCGTCCTGCTTCCTCTACAAGAAACACATCCTTATATGCTGGTTTGTAAATTGGACTTCTCGTATATGTATTCTTATAATATTTTAGCCTGTGTATAATTGTATTATTAAATACCATTCTGTTTTCTAATATATTATTATTTTGGCGCAACCAGTCCTCACTCTTTCTTTTGTGAATCAATGCCTACAAATCACAGCTATATAAAGGTGAGAGGGGTGGGTAGAGCAAGGATTTGTTGTATACAATTGGAAAAGTTTAGCAACCAGATTCTATCACCCAAAATATTAATAACTATAAGTACTTGGAATATTGATGGAATGCATTCACGGAAAATAACAATGAAAACCTGTAAAGAAAATGACAGGTATAAATGGTAACATTGTTATAGTCAGAATAATAATATGGTAACAAGGGTAAAATAAATTAGCTTGGCCACCTTCCAAGCTTCAGTCAGGACCTGAACGCTGAAGGAGAAATGGAGACTCTGAGTATTGCTGTGAGCTTCCAGACTTGCCGAGAGACGTGTATTCACAACAGGTTCACTGAGTTCTGCTACGAAGCCCGTCTGTGAGATAATAGCACAGATTTGTAAAATGGAACGGATTTACACCGCTTACTACAGCAACAGGTTTACATTATTTTGGCATTTTAAGAAAGACGTATGACCGAGTTTCATAGCCGATATCTGATCATTTTAATTTATCTATTGTTATCAAAACTACATGTTACAAACATATTTACTCTTCTTTATTAAATGTATTAGACCCTATTTAGAATATTTCAACATAATTATTGTATGCCATTTTACCTCCACCAACCACCACAAAAAAACACAATATTTCTGCTGCGGATTAATTAATAAATGAACCACTCTTTCTGTTTAATTTTATTTACGGTTACCACTGAGCATGTATCGGTTTCTAGGTGTCTCTCCGAATTGGTGTTTTATCGCACATATTCATGTTCATTATGCGTTCCACGTTTATACGTTATGTGATTCTTAGAATGAAATGAACTTGGTAGTGAGCGGGGTAATATCCAAGAATTTAGTGAATACTTAATAAAGTAACTTTGTGTATAAATGTTTGTCCCTTTGTGTTTCCATGCTGTCCCTTTAAAAGCGATATAAATATAAGCTGTGTTTTCAATCTGCGTGCACGCTGACCTTTCGGAGCGCATTGTGTGGACATTGCTGCCAGCGGGGAGATTTAGCAGTGTGTGTGACAGGAGGGAATGTCCTCGTCTAGCTGAGCCAGGAATAAAGAATTGCTTGAAATGGCTTTATCACATACTGAGGTATTGCCCCTGCTCCTGTCACTCACAGGACAATGGCTGACGCCAGGTGGATTACCCAGCATCCTTTGGTGCTAAAACTGTACTTTGGAAACTGCCCGTCATGGATGCCGATGATGAACGCCATGTAACAGGAGATGCCGGTATACTCATGCACAGTCCCTGACTGGAGAGATTTACAGCATCTGTCAGCTTCCTTCAAACCGAAACCTCACAACTTGTGTCTGTCATTGACCTTGTTTCCAGGAGGGGACATTCTTCCAGCCTAGCTGCCATGGATCTCATCCATGATGGGCTGCTACGAGGTTTGTGCCTGATCAGGGTGTAGGGGACGTTTGCTTATAGTGGTCTGTGCCAACTGATCCATTGTGAGAAGGCGTCAGGACAGAGCAACGTGGTGCCCAGGAAACAAATAGAAAGTGTTGGTCTGCTCCAAATTCCACAATCTATATTGATTGAAGGCACTCTTTGGACCCCTAAAGCACATTAGCTTGTTGTAGTACTTTATATGTGAAGCGTGTGTTTCTTATTTTATAAAAAGGGCACATGTCAATAGAAATTGACACTTTTATAAATTAAAGGACCACTCTAGGCACCCAGACCACTTCAGCTTAATAAAGTGGTCTGGGTGCCAGGTCCTTCAAGGGTTAACCCATTATTTTATAAACATAGCAGTTTCAGAGAAACTGCTATGTTTATGAATGGGTTAAGCCTTCCCCCAAAGCCTCTAGTGGCTGTCTCATTGACAGCCGCTAGAGGCGCTTGCGTGATTCTCACTGTGAAAATGACAGTGAGAAGACGCCAGCGTCCATAGGAAAGGTATGTGACACGCTGCATGCGCGCGCAGCTCTTGCCGCGCCTGCGCATTCAGCCGACGGGGAGGAGCAGAGGAGGATCGGAGGAGGAGAGCTCCCCGCCCAGCGCTGGAAAAAGGTACGTTTCTACCCCTTTGCCCCTTCCAGAGCCGGGCGGGAGGGGGACCCTGAGGGTGGGGGCACCCTCAGGGCACTATAGTGCCAGGAAAACGAGTATGTTTTCCTGGCACCATAGTGGTCCTTTAACCTTGTTACACCCCGCCAGGGGCGGACTGAGCTCTCGGGCAAATTGGTCATGGACCGAGGGCCCAAGGCACTGGGGGGCCCGCCCTCTGTGCAGGAAAGTAAGGTTTGGCTGGTGAGTTTAACAATCCCCCCTGCCAGCCTGCAGTCAGTAAGGGGCCCGCACGGCACTCCGCGGGCCCCTGTTACAAAATACATTCTATAGCATTAGAGAAAAGTAGCATTAAAGAAAAGCAAGGGACATTACATACACCATATACCATCACAACAACTTTCAGCACAGTCTATTGCTGGGTACCTGCGTTCTCTCTCTGCGCGTGTCTGCTAAACACGGCGTAGCTGGTAAATGAGCATACTCCATATCTGAGTGAGTCCTGTTAGAATGAGTGCACTCTGGTAGATGGCCTCACTCCATATCTGAGTGAGTCCTGTTAGAATGAGTGCACTCTGGTAGATGGCCGCACTCCATATCTGAGTGAGTCCTGTTAGAATGAGTGCACTCTGGTAGATGGCCGCACTCCATATCTGAGTGAGTCCTGTTAGAATGAGTGCACTCTGGTAGATGGCCGCACTCCATATCTGAGTGAGTCCTGTTAGAATGAGTGCACTCTGGTAGATGGCCGCACTCCATATCTGAGTGAGTCCTGTTAGAATGAGTGCACTCTGGTAGATGGCCGCACTCCATATCTGAGTGAGTCCTGTTAGAATGAGTGCACTCTGGTAGATGGCCGCACTCCATATCTGAGTGAGTCCTGTTAGAATGAGTGCACTCTGGTAGATGGCCGCACTCCATATCTGAGTGAGTCCTGTTAGAATGAGTGCACTCTGGTAGATGGCCGCACTCCATATCTGAGTGAGTCCTGTTAGAATGAGTGCACTCTGGTAGATGGCCGCACTCCATATCTGAGTGAGTCCTGTTAGAATGAGTGCACTCTGGTAGATGGCCGCACTCCATATCAGTGTCCACTCTGGTAAATGGCTGCACTCCATATCTCAGTGAGTTGTTAGTATGAGTGCGCTCTGGTAAATGGCTGCACTCCATATCTCAGTGAGTTCCGTTAGTATGAGTGCACTCTGGTAGATGGCCGCACTCCATATCTGAGTGAGTCCTGTTAGTATGAGTGCACTCTGGTAAATGGCCGCACTCCATATCTGAGTGAGTTCCGTTAGAATGAGTGCGCTCTGGTAGATGGCCGCACTCCATATCTCAGTGAGTTCCGTTAGTATGAGTGCACTCTGGTAAATGGCTGCACTCCATATCTGAGTGAGTTCCGTTAGAATGAGTGCACTCTGGTAAATGGCTGCACTCCATATCTGAGTGAGTCCTGTTAGTATGAGTGCACTCTCGTAAATGGCTGCACTCCATATCTGAGTGAGTTCCGTTAGTATGAGTGCACTCTGGTAGATGGCCGCACTCCATATCTCAGTGAGTTCCGTTAGTATGAGTGCACTCTGGTAGATGGCCGCACTCCATATCTCAGTGAGTTCCGTTAGTATGAGTGCACTTTGGTAGATGGCCGCACTCCATATCTCAGTGAGTTCCGTTAGAATGAGTGCGCTCTGGTAGATGGCCGCACTCCATGGATGAGTGCACTCCAGTGGAAGTAACATTCTCCATAAATGAGCATACTCCAAAGATTAGCACAGAAGAGAAAGGGAGCTAGAATAAAAAGGAACTGGTTACAAAGGGGGTAACCCCTAGTTCAAAAGACTCCAGAAAGTCAACATAGGCAACCAGCGGTAACTCAACTTGTATTTAATATATTTAGAAATATGTTAAAATGCTAGAAATCAGTGAGAAAAGAAAAGTAATGTGTGTAACGATTATCTCATCCCAGTGTCTCTAAATGAAAGGATACAGAGGATAGCAGCACAATTGGACAGAACACAGCAGGTATGCTCATATATGTATTTCATATTGTGTAGTAAAACCTTCTACAGAGGAGACAGACAGCCTCTGCCGTATTAACTACTGAGCAATAAGCAGAATAGAGGAAGGGACAATGAGAAATAATGAAACCCTAAAATAGAACACTGCCGTACTCCAAAGATGGGTGTTGATGATTTCCACAGTGTTTCTGGACGGGGGCATGATTTTGTTCTAGATAATTTACTGCAAACCAATTAGTTTGAATGACTATCTGTTCCTGTCCAAATTAAAGATAATAAAGTTGCGTGCACGCAGAAGTAAATTCACACTGAGACACAAGGTTCAGGGTAATGAAAGAACTTCAGAGAAGTTTAATGGCTTCTGACAGAAAATGGGTGCGCAGACCCTTATAAAGGCATTATTACATCATTGAAGAAAATCAAGATATAGACAAATAGACACTATTGATTGGTCCAGGTGTTAAGTGGTTAGTTAGGTACCCTCCTATCAAGAGGTGATGTCATCCTTGACACGGGAGTGGACACAAGATGTAGGCGCCATCTTGTTAGCACGAGGTGTTCACTCGATGGGAGGGGTGCTTTGGCAGCCATCCATTTAGAGTGTAGCTGGCACGGTTAGTTTCTCAAGGTTAGGTTTCAAGGCTTTTAGTAAATACACATTTTATCAAAGCTATTTCTTGCTGACATGCAAATTCTATGTTCTATAGACAAAGCTTCCTTGTAAAACTATGGGGGCCTCTTAGAGGTATAGCAAGAGGATTTAAAGGGGCCTTACAAATTTATAGAGGCCTAATAATTCTACAACAGTCCCCCCTAAAATGTTATTTGCTAAAAGACAAAACTTTATTTGTTAGTATCAGAAGAAGTATTAGCCCAAAGACACAGAAACCCCATGACCGCTGACTTAGTGTTAATGCAAAGTGCAAGTCTATCCCTCTCTTGACCCTAACAGGCTGCAGCACATCCGTCAGTACGGTTCAGGAACACTCTTCACTCCGCTGGTAACCCATAGTGGCTTATCCACTACTTCTCCGTACGGCAGTCTACCCATAAAGACGGACGCTGTCCCTGTACTGTTCCTAGACTTTCTGCACTTCATCAGTATAAGGGAGAGTTTGTAGCGGAATACAGGGTGAGATGAGGTCTTGATCATCGATTGTCAGATGAGTGAAGGTTGGTGTTGCTTGGTCTACAGTTTTCTGCAGGAATTTCCTTAGGCATGGGAGGACACAACAAATGAGAAGAGCGAGAATAAAAAAGAAAAATTAGTAAGGCAATACCAATCTGGACTAAAGCTCTCTGCCAACCAGTCATCCAACCAAACCATTTTTCCCAGGGATCAGTAACTCCAGAGTTTCTCTTTAACTCTTCTGAGAGTCTATTTAATTTAGCTATGGCCAGAGTGACTTTACCATTAGGACCTGTGTTTTCTGGAATGTAAGTGCAACAAGTCATAGTGTCGGGAAGTATTTTACAGACTCCCCCTTTTTCGGCTAAGATCATGTCTAAGGCCAGTCTGTTCTGGAAGGTCATTTGGGATGTGGCCTGTAATTGCTCGGCCAAGCCCTGGAGGGCATCCCTGGTGTAGTTCACGAAGCGCTGTTGGTTGTAATAGATATAATTAATCCAATTAAGGTTTTTGTTGGCAGTGACTATGGTAAAAAGTGATTCAAAACCTGCAGCTACTTCATCTCTAGCTTTAAATTCATTAGGTACCCCCCTAGGCACCCCAATGGCATCTATGTAAATGTGGGGGTCAAAACTGCCTTTTACTGGGGTTTCGCGCCTTACTCTGGCTGATGTATGTGGAGGGTCGTATGTGTCATGATGATTATCAGAAATAATATGAATGGGCATGATAACTTTGGCCAGGGTACACTCACCCCACCACTCAGTTTCCAGCCTAGATCTTAACTGTAGATCCCCACATAACCAGTAAATATCCCCCAATGACCTGGTATGGTGTTGCAACAGGCGTATAGGAACAGTTCTGTAAGTGGCGCAATAACCTTTAGAAAAATTACCCATGAATTTACCAATCCCGTCATACATGGCATAACAAGTGTAATTACCTCTATAGACTGTGATTCCATCTGGTGGCTTAACATTTTCAACTAAGAGAGGGTATTCTGCCGTCCATGCCATGCAGAGGGACCTATTAAAGTCATATTGGTAGGCAAAAAGGCTTAAGAAGCAATCTTCTATCTCTAAAGGGAGAGTTAGGGGGACGGTGCCAAGGTGGGGTCGGGCACCGCCACATACATAACATGCTGTTTTATTATGTTTGTTAGCATTATACCTCATCCATTCTAACCACAGATTAATGTCATTGAATCCAGTTTCAGCGGCCATGGTATCTTCAAAAGTGGGGTTAGCGATGGCCATCATATCTTTAAAGGACTGGATATGTGGTTTTAGCGGATTTGGGACCATATGATCAGCCCCTTGCCACTCTGGAGAGTGGGACATATCTCTGAGGTAGAAATGACCTAATTTGTTGTAGGAACCTTTCTTCCAATACATTCCCATTACATATCGGTCTGCATCCTCGGGGCCAGGATGTTCAATATTTAACATTAATTTCATAGGGGTACTTCCTCCAGGCTTTCTTAAAGTCATTCTTTGAAGGAGGGATCTACCCTGATTGTCTATCTTAGATAAAGCACTTTTGGGTTTATAACCCCAGGCAGGCCCAGTATTCCATCCCGCAGCCCCCCAGTAGTTACAGTCATAACCCCATTGTTCATCTACTACACAAACGTAAGGGTCTTTTGCTTGTGGTATATCTTTATAAATGGCTTGAATCTGTGACTTAGGGAATGGGCATTCTACAATATCACAGTAATCAAAAGTGAATGTAGCCACATGGGTACATGATGAATTATACCAGAAAGTGTACCCACTAGCATCTTTGGTGATGGCCACCTGCTGGGCTTTAAGGAGGCCAACTAAGGAGATAATGTACCAGAGGCACATGGTTGCATAGAGTTAGCTTCCTCTGGGGCAGGTGTCTTCTTGCAATGGGAAGCGTGGATCCAGTTAGGCCTTCCGGCCAATTTGACAGAGGTAGGGGAGATCAGGAGAACTTGGAACGGTCCGTCAAATCTTGGTTCCAGGGTGTGTTTTCGCACAAATTTCTTGACCAGAACCCAGTCACCGGGGAGCAGACTGTGGTTGCCTGTGTCAGAATCAGGATCTGGAATTTTAGAGAAAACTTGGACATGGATTTTGTTCAAAGCATTTGCGAGTTCAGTTACATAATCTACTAAAACATCAGTTTGAAGTTGTAGTTGTTGGGGAAAATAGCAACCTAGCCTAGGTGCAGTCCCAAATAGAATCTCGTATGGGGACAATGAGGTAGTATTTTTGTACAAGAGCATTCATTAGATCTTTTGATAAATGTGCAGGTCTGTGTGCCCATTGTACGACTGCTGGGTACAAATTCTTAGGGAGGCAGAAATTGAGGTTGTTGGAGTACACTCCATCCTTCAGAACTGCCCCTTTCTGTTTCCACTTCTGTATTTCTTCAGGGGCAACTGTAGCCTGTTGTTCCAGCAGGATTTTCAGGTCAGTTGGAAGAGTCTGCAGAGTAAATATGGGAGTTTCTTCATTTCCGGACACTCTTCTTTCCACTTCCTGTGGTTCTTTTGCAGCTTGTTTTGCAGCCTGATCAGCTAGATGGTTGCCCTTTGCTTCATCTGAGTCCAACTTCCCATGTGCTTTTATCTTCAAAATAGCCACTTCTTCTGGGAGTAGGAGGGCGTCCATCAGCTCCTTGATCGCGGAACCGTGCTTGATTGGTGTACCGGTGGTGGTAAGAAATCCTCTTGTTTTCCAAATTAATCCGAAGTCGTGAGCCACGCCCAGTGCATATCTTGAATCCGTGTAGATATTGGCGCGCTTTCCTTCAGAGATCTTGCATGCTGAAGTCAGGGCTTGCAATTCAGCTTCTTGTGCAGACATAGTTGATGGTAAAGATGATGATTTGACAATTTCATCTGTTGTGGTTACGGCATATCCTGTATGGTATCTTCCTTCTTCATCAGCATATCTTGAGCCGTCCACAAACAGGGTGAGATCGGGATCTACCAATGGGTCTTCATGTACAGTTGGTAGATGTGTTGTTTCCATTTTCATCTGTTCAAAACAGTCATGAGGTGTATCTGGGTCGTATTCATTCACTATGGTTAAATCTTGGAACTCATTCTCCAGGAAATGACGCGGCCATGCTTTTAGGGTCAGTTGTTGGATATTTGACAACACCATTTTCCTGTAGCTGTGATTCGTCCATAGTGGCCCATGCTTTTGCCATAGGCCCAAGATCATTCCATGATATTGTTTTCAACTTGGTCACAGGGACATGTGGAATGGCAGTGTCCCAATGACGGTACAAATGCTTGAGTTCCGGAGGTAGATGAATCAAGACCATACTGTTGCCTTCAGAATCACAGTAGAAGTCTTGTGCAGTGAGTTTTACTTCGACCAGATGATAGAGTTCATCTTCATAGCAGGGTTCAGGAGTGATGTTTGATTTGTACCACATGGTACAGAAGGCATATCCTGCTCCGTCATGAAGGAGTGCTTGTCCATCATGAAAGGATAGGTTGGGATGCATTTCCTTCTTGATGGTGCCAGTGAGAAGAAAAACATAAGTTTCGTCCATGATGAATCCGTAGTATACACCCCCCTCAGGGAGTGGCAGAAGAGTGGACGGATTGAGAACTTGACATCTTTGAAGGGTAATGTTGTCAGGCAACAAAAGATGACATTGAAGGCGAAGATGCCTAGCAGGAGTAACATGCTTAAGTTGGACCTGGTTGACTATGGCAGAAATGTCATGGGGGGCCAAGACAACCAGGGGGTGGCCAAGGACAAGATCTCCAGTTCTTTCAATGAGCTCTCTGGCAGCAAAGACGGCCCGAAGGCAAGAGGGACGTCCTCTGGCCACAATATCCAGTTGGCAGGAGAAAAATCCAATAGGCCTTTGGCGGCCTCCAGGACCATGGGCCTGAGTGAGCACTCCTGTTGCATGGCCTTGTCTTTCAGAAACAAACAGTTTGAAGGGTTTGGTATAGTCTGGTAGGCCAAGAGCAGGAGCAGAAGCAATAGCACTTTTGAGAGAACAGAAGTTGTCAAGGGCTTCTGTGGACAAGCAAAATGGGTCTGACTTGAGAGCATCATAAAGAGGTTGCATAAGGAGCGAGGCTTCTGGGATCCATGCTCGGCAATAGGAAATGAGGCCTAGGAAGGCGTGTAGTGACTTCGAGGTCCTTGGAGGTGGAATGTCCAGTACTGCTCTAACTCGGTCACGGGTAAGATGTCTGGTTCCCTGAGACAGACAATGGCCAAGGAAGATAACAGTAGGTTGGCAGAATTGCAGCTTGAGACGTGAAGCTTTACATCCTTGTTCTGCTAGGTAGCAAAGAATATTAAGTGAGCATTGTTCTGTTGTGGGTATATCATCTCCACAAAGCAGCAAATCATCCACATATTGAAGCAGGACGACCTCAGGGTGGTCAGATTGCCATGGATCAAGGATAGAGCACATGGCCTTCGCAAATTGACTTGGTGAATTTTGTGCCCCTTGGGGCATGACAGTCCATGTGTACTGTTGTTTTTCATGTGTGAAAGCAAACAGATATTGGCAAGTTGGATCCAGGGGAACACTGAAGAAGGCATTGGCCAGATCAATGACAGTGAAGTACTTGGCAGAGGGTGGAACGCCGGAAAGGAGAGTGTGTGGGTTGGGCACTATTGGAGTGTCCAAAACTGTGGCTTTTTACCGCTCTGAGGTCTTGGACCAATCTGTACTTTTCTGGTTCGCCTTTTGGAGTCTTTTTCTTTACTGGAAATAATGGAGTATTGCATGGTGATTCACATTTGACAAGAGCACCCTTCTCCAGGAGTGCTTGAATTTGAATTGTAATGGCTGCAGCTTGAGCTGGTTTCAAAGGATACTGTGATTTTCGTGGCAATTTTACGCCTGGGATGAGCTTTACCACCACAGGCGGGACCTTTAGATGGCCTATGTCCTCTGGGCCTGTGGACCACAGCTTCTTGGGAACATCAGTCTTTAGTGAATCAGGGAAATTAGTCCTTAGGTCTTTTGCATCCCCATGAGGCTCTTCTAGATGTAGCATCAGGGGTAAGGAGCACAAAGCTGAGGTGTCTGAGACAGATAGAGGGGTGGATAGTTCCACTTGTCCATCTGGAGTAAAGGTGATGGATGCCTGCAGGCGTGAAAGAACATCAGCTCCTAACAGGTTAATGGGGCATGTGGAAGATACCACAAAGCGAGCAAGCAAGTTGTGGCAGTTACCAACCCGCAGTGGGGTGGACAGGGGACTTTGCCTTGGAAGGCCGTCCACCCCAACACAGGAGACATCAATATTGGAAAGAAATGAGGTATCGGGCAGGTCTTGTTCTCTCAGAACACTTCGGGCTGCACCTGTGTCAACTAGGAAAGTGGTGGGCTGGCCCTCAATGGGTAAAATTACAGTAGCTAGAGGCCCCCCCTGTTCCCCTGAAGACACTGCCATGGCAG